ACTTCTTTGTATTGGGAAATCATGGTAATCTCATGATCCACAGGACCTCCAAAATTATTTTGGGGTAACAGAAGTTATGGTAAATGGCTGAAAAACTAATTTACAGTCTATAGGAATTAGTAAGTAAGACACTTTGGGTTGGCTAGGGAATCCTTTTCAATAGTTAAAAACCACCTCACAGAGAAATACAGCTCACATTTATGGACTTGTATGAAAATAGGTATAGAGGAATAAAACAAAACTTACCAAATTTACTGTGCCCATTGCACCCTGATATTTTCTTTTCTAGTTTCTTTTTTCTTTTCTGTCTCTCTCTTTCCTTCTTACTTCCTCCTCCTCTTCTTTCCTCTTCTCATACAGGCCATGACCCATCAGTCCATGTCATTTACTCAAGAGTCCTGACCCACAGCAAGCACACTGCATTGGGGCGGAGTGTAGACTCTCTGTGCCTTCCTTGCTTCAAGTCTCTGATGTATGTGTAGTTCCCGCCTCTCCTCAGCCCTCCCTTTCTTAGTCTCTGCTTTCTGCCAGATAACAAAAGAACTGTAAAGGACTTACAGCCTACTTCTGGCATTGTTATCCTGAACTTCTCCCCTGAACCCAGCATTTCGGGCAAACAGACCTCTTAGATGCGCCTGACCTTCTTGTTTATTGGTTAGAGTAATCATTACAACTAGTTTAATAAAAGGCCCACAGTATTACCTCTGCTCTGGCTTGTGTAATAATAATCATATCAAATAATACCTATTAAGCATTTACTGTGATTCAAACCCTAGTTCAGTACTTTATGTATCTAAGTCACACACAGGAAGCTCGGGCATGAAAAGCCACATGAGCTGCCCAAGGACGCACAGAGGGCACCCCAACAGTTGCTGACCTTCACCCACTCTTGACATCATGTTGTTTGTGAAGCTGACGTCTGTCAGAACAGCGCCTCTCAGCATGTATTTAAGAGTGGGGGAGCACCTTGCACCCCTTTTCACCCACACAAGTGATTTGGTTGGCAAACTTCGTTTGAGTTCTTCTGTTTCCCATGCGTTTTCCTAGGTACTGAAGGTAATTCTCTGATTTGTAGGTAGCCTTTCAAATGAACTCAGGTGACACTTTATCTGGTACCTCTCTCCATACTTTTTGATACTATTTGGTATCTGTCCTCTGCACATTTTTTTCAAGACCTTTTTTTCACTCAATAATCTCATTTCAGTGCAATATTAGTTCCTGAGGACAGGACAAGGGATAGACTCAGGAATGATCTGCTCCTGTCACAAAACCATCACACAGTGTGAGGAGGGTGGTGAGAACTCTGTGGGGGAGCAGGGCAGGTGGCAGGCTCTCTGCCCCCAGCATGCCCTGGCCCTCTGTTTTGGGGCGTGTGGGGGTGTAACTGGGTGGGTAGAAGAGCGCCCGGTGTCTCTGACCCTTCACCAGTTTATGCAAACAAACTGAAAAATGTATCAGCCGCTACGTATGATAAAGTACTTGCAGGAATTCCTTTAAGATTCCTAAGAGTAAAGCAGCTTCTTGTACAATGGTTGTTATAAGTAGAGATGGAAGAGCAGAAATAACCTTTCTCAAACAAGAGTCAGATTATCCTATTCTAAAAGAGAGGTTCCAGGAAGTCATTTATGAATTTATTTTTTATTTTTTTTTAATTAATTTTTTTATAGAGGCATGTTTTATTTGTTTGTTTGTTTTGTTTATACATGCACTGGGTACAGTCAGAAGCGCGGGAGGGTGAGAGAATTCACCAGAGCCAGAGCGGGGAGCAGAGCAGGCAGAAGGACCGAAGTACACTGCTGAGGGGAGCAGCGGGCGGCAGGAGAGGTCTGCGCGCCATACGGGACCCTCCTCCGGTGGCCGGGGAGCAGCCGGGGATTGAACCGGTGCCGCAGAGGCCGCGGGCAGCCTCGCAACCCAGCGCTCAACCGCTGCGCCACCGGGGAGGCCCCATTTATGAATTTAAATGAAATATAACTTGGAAAATCAGAGAGATTAAAGTTTTATATATTTAATTGGCCTCATGGGCTGTTTCCACCCTGGAAACATTCTCAGCACCACATTTCTCACCTACCATTCTACATCTAGCCTCTTGAGCTTTTGTCTCTTCTCCCCACATTTTTGTAGCTATAAGAGAAAAATAGCTCATGTACTGTTTTATACTGGCATTAGTTAACTGAAGGCTTATAAATGACACTGGCTCTCCCTAGCAGAGATAAACTGAGAGCCAACACTTTCCCAGGCATGGCTACTCAGAGAACAGCACCCAGAGCTTGTTAGCAATGGCAGAGGCAGGAATCAGAATCCTCATTCTAATAAGACCCCAGGTAATTCATATATGTACTACAGTTTAAGAAGCACTGGGCTAGACCATGCTAAGCCCACCCCATATCCCTCTACGTGTGAAAGAATCCTAAGGATGCACTTTGTTCTGGTCTATCCTGAAGTTGCCTGCGGCACATGTATGTCAGTGGAAGCAAAGTTCGCTGTCAAAGGAAGCTTTGTGCTTCAGGCCTGTTTGGTCTCCTGACACCCGTCACTACTTGCCACTTGGCTCCTCTGCTTAATCAATCCCACAAAAATATATTCCTATTAGTTTCAGGATCAAATTCAATATTTGTCAAAACAGCTTTATTAGTGACTAAAACACAGTGCATGGCATGTATTTAAAGTACACACGTGAAACCATCACCATGGTCAAGGAAACCAAGATGTCCATTGCACTGTGCCACAAAAGTCCCCTCCTGCCCCTTTGTATCCTCTCTCCAAGCCCTGGTAACCATTAATCTGCTTTTTGTCACTATAGGTAAGTTTGTATTTTCTAGAATTGTACATGAATGGAGTCATACAATGTGGTCTCTTATTTGTCTAGTTTCTTTCACTCAACATAATTATTTAAGAGATTCATCATGAGGACCATGTATATCCTATTACTGAGTGGTATTCCTCTGTATGAAAATAACAGTGTGTACATACTTGCTGATAATAATTTAGATTTCCAGTTTGGGCTACTTACAAATGGAGCTGCTGAGAACATTTGTTATATATCTTCGTATGATCATGTGCTTCAGTTTTGCTTGATAGGAATGGAATGGAATATCTGGGTCATATGGCCCATGTATGTCTAATTTTCTTAGAAACAATATTTTCCAAAGTAGTTATACCATTTTATATCTTCACCCAGCAAGGTACAAGAGGTCCAGTTCCTGCACATCCTCTCTTCTCAGTATTGCAGTCTTTTTGATTATACTCTTCAAGTGGGAGTGACGTGGTAGCTCAGTGTGGTTTTAATTTGCATGTTACTCATGAGCAACTTTTTGTGTGCCAATTATACATCTTCTTTGAAGTGGCTACTGAAATCATGAATTGGGTTGTGTGTCACTGTTAAGTTTAAGAGTTTTTTATGTATTCTTGGTTCAAGAACTTATCAGATAAATGATTGACCAATGTTTTCTGAGCTTGTTTTTAATTCTTTTAACTGTGTCTTTGCAAGAGCAGGGTTTTTTTGTTTGTTGCTTTTAATGAAATCTATCTTTATCAATTGATTCTCTTGTGGATTGTGCTTATGGTGTTGTGCCTAAGAAATAATTTGCCTAAACCAAGGCCATAAAGGATTTCTCTTATATTTTCTTCTGAAAATGTTATATTTTAAGATAGGTTTTATATCTAAGTCTGCTACCCATTTTGAGTTAATTTTTGTGTGTGGTACATAAAGAGGTTGAGAGTTTTATTTCTTATATGTATATCCAGTTCCAGCATCATTCATTGAAAACATTATTGTTTCTCCACTGAATTGCCTTTGAACCTTTGTCAAAAACCACATGTTCACATATATCTAAATAAGCCACTGAAAACCAGGCCCTGACTTTGGATGAAAGTCACTGATGAAAGCAGTGAGAACTGTGGGGTCCCAAATGGTCAGGGCAATTGCTGCCCAATGGTGCGATATGGACTCCAGCTTTGGGGCCCCTCAAGAGCATTTTGAGTTTACCCTGGGAGTCCAGCAAGAGTAGAAATGTAGAGTGTGCCATCCAGGGGCAAGTTGAGGAGATAGTCTCACCAATCATTTTTGGTAGGGCAGGCATCTCACAGAATAGAACCTCTGTTGAAGAAGGCTGGGTAGTACACAGCACACACTCTCCTAGACCTCTAGGAGACCTCCTAGGAGAGATGTTATTTCACTACATGTGGTGGGTACCATAGGACTGTGGAACTTAACAGTTAGTGAATTCTGCATGAGAAGGATGCTGGACCAGCAAGAAGACTGAAACCTAGAAACCCAGGAGGCCCCATCAGTTCATGAAATCCACAGTTGCCTGGGTTCTGGAAGTTCTGCATTGGCTCTTCTCCAAGCCAATAAAAGATGTGATTCCAGATAGTGGTTGAAAGGTGGCATACTGCTACTCTCTAGACTTTGTTCTTCTGTGCCCAGAACTTCTGTGTAACTCAGGGAGCTGTCCCAAGTGAACACACCTGCTTTCTTAGACTCTGGCAGGCGAGAATTCTACTACTGAACCACCAATGCCAGCACTGCTTCCTTAGACTTTGGAAACAATAGGATAGGCCATTGCCTTTTGAAACAGTGGTAGGATGAATCATTATTTCCAGGTGCAAGCAGACAGGGACCTGCGTCAGTGAGGTGACCTCCACATGACAGAGCTGTCCCAAGAGCTGCCTCCATCTCTAGCAGAATTCCGGCCTGGCCTTGCCAAAATCTGCTCTCTTCTTGTTAGGCCCCGTGGGCAGAAATCCAGGGCTGGTGTCCTGCAGGAATTCGAAGTGTGACTTTAGCCTCTCTCAGAAAGTAGGGGAAGTGAGCAGGTTTAGTGTGGGAGTACAGGGATGCAGGTTTGTACTCATGGTGTATTCCTGGATGGACAATGATCCAGTTTCTCACACACTCTGGAGACTGACCTCTACCGAGTGGCCCCTCTGTGTGTGACAATGCGTTATGCCTAGTGCAGTAATCTCAAGACCCATCTGATACACTTTTTGTTTTCCAGGCTCTCCTAGCAGGCATGAGGAACCGGGAGAACAGCTCTCCTTGCCAGGGCAATGGAGAGCAGGCCGTCAGGGTCAAGATCTTGGGCCCTGTGTGGCCAGGTGAGGAGGAGCCTTGCAACGATGTGACCATCCCGTCCTATAAGAAGCCTCTGTATGGCATCTCACACAAAATCATGGAGAAGAAGAACCTTCCTGCAGGGGATGTGCTCAACACATACGAGCTCTTTGAGAAGGCAAACCCCAGCAACAGCCCTTCTCCCCTGCGGCTCCTAAATGAGCCACAGAAACGGGACTGTGGCAGTGCCGCAGCAGCCACGGATGGCGATCCCAACATCTACTTTCTGATCCAGAAGATGTTCTACATGCTCAACACTCTTTCCTCCAACATGTCCCAGCTGCACAGCAAGGTGGACCTGCTCTCTCTGGAGGTGAGCCGCATTAAGAAGCAGGTTAGCCCCACAGAGATGGTGGCCAAGTTCCAGCCACCCCCGGAGTACCAGCTCACGGCAGCGGAGCTCAAGCAGATCGTGGACCAGAGCCTGTCCGGCGGCGACCTTGCCTGCCGCCTGCTGGTGCAGCTCTTTCCGGAGCTCTTCAGCGATGTGGACTTCTCCCGAGGCTGCAGTGCCTGCGGCTTTGCAGCCAAGCGGAAGCTGGAGTCGCTGCACCTGCAGCTCATCCGCAACTATGTGGAAGTCTACTACCCCTCAGTGAAGGACACCGCTGTGTGGCAGGCAGAATGTTTGCCCCAACTGAATGACTTTTTCAGCCGCTTCTGGGCCCAGCGGGAAATGGAGGACAGCCAGCCCGCGGGCCAAGTTGCGGGCTTCTTTGAGGCTGAGCAGGTGGACCCTGGCCACTTCCTAGATAACAAAGACCAGGAGGAGGCCCTGAGTCTGGACCGGAGCAGCACCATCACCTCGGACCATGTTGTAGACACGCAGGACCTCACCGAGTTCCTGGATGAAGCCTCCTCACCCGGTGAGTTCGCTGTGTTCCTTCTCCACCGGCTCTTCCCAGAGCTCTTTAACCACCGGAAGCTGGGTGAGCAGTACAGCTGCTACGGGGACGGTGGCAAGCAGGAGCTAGACCCCCAGCGGCTGCAGATCATCCGCAACTACACGGAGATCTACTTCCCCGACATGCAGGAGGAGGAGGCCTGGCTGCAGCAGTGCGCCCAGCGCATCAACGACGAACTGGAGGGCCTGGGCCTGGACGGGGGCAGCGAGGGGGAGCCCCCGCGGGACGACTGCTACGACTCCTCCAGCCTGCCCGACGACATCTCCGTGGTCAAGGTGGAAGACAGTTTCGAGGGCGAGCGGCCGGGCCGGCGCTCCAAGAAGATCTGGCTGGTGCCCATCGACTTTGACAAGCTGGACATCCCGCAGCCTGACTTCGAGGTGCCGGGCGCCGACTGCCTGCTCACCAAGGAGCAGCTGCGCAGCATCTACGAGAGCAGCCTCTCCATCGGCAACTTCGCCTCGCGCCTGCTGGTGCACCTCTTCCCGGAGCTCTTCACCCACGAGAACCTGCGCAAACAGTACAACTGCAGCGGCTCCCTGGGCAAGAAGCAGCTGGACCCGTGCCGCATCAAGCTCATTCGCCACTACGTGCAGTTGCTCTACCCCCGCGCCAAAAACGACCGCGTCTGGACGCTGGAGTTCGTGGGCAAACTGGACGAGCGCTGCCGGCGCCGGGACACGGAGCAGAGGCGCTCCTACCAGCAGCAGCGCAAGGTCCACGTGCCCGGCCCCGAGTGCAGAGACCCGGCAAGCTATGCAATCAACCCCGAGAGGTTCCGAGAGGAATTCGAGGGGCCCCCACTGCCCCCCGAAAGAAGCAGTAAGGACTTCTGCAAGATCCCCTTGGACGAGCTGGTGGTCCCGTCGCCCGACTTCCCGGTGCCTTCCCCCTACCTGCTGTCAGACAAGGAGGTGCGCGAGATCGTGCAGCAGAGCCTCTCGGTGGGCAACTTTGCTGCCAGGCTGCTCGTCCGGCTCTTCCCCGAACTCTTCACCGCCGAGAACCTGCGGCTGCAGTACAACCATTCCGGGGCGTGCAACAAGAAGCAGCTGGACCCCACGCGGCTGCGGCTCATCCGCCATTACGTGGAAGCCGTGTACCCGGTGGAGAAGATGGAGGAGGTGTGGCACTACGAATGTATCCCCAGCATCGACGAACGGTGCCGCCGCCCCAACAGGAAAAAATGCGACATCTTGAAGAAAGCCAAGAAAGTGGAAAAGTGACGGGCACCCTGGGACTGAGGTTCTTAGGAGCCTGCCTATGGTTCTCCACAGACTCGCACCTTATGTCAGTGGGGAGTGGCTTACTACATTTGCACACCAAACACCCTCCCGACCACACGAAAGAGCCGTGCATCGGTCTCTTGTACTTAGACTTTTGTCCTGTGTTCTCTGGTGGTGCAGCCAGAGTTTGTTGAAAGCAGAGGTCTCAGGAGTAGGGGATCTCTCTCCTTGGCTGTGTGTCCCCCCCCCCCTTTAATAATTTGAAATGCAAACTCAACAACTCTCTTGTTTCTCTTCCCACATTTTACATCTTCCATTTTTATCAAATTTTTTTTAATTAAAAAGAAACCCTTTTTTTTTTTTTTTAAATCATTGGGCTCTTTGGGGGCCATTTTACTTTGAAGAACTCTCAAATATTTGAGATGAAGTACTGTAAGATGATTTCAGTTGCTTGGATTTTTTTAAAAGATGATTTCAGATTTATGAAATTTTTAGAAGTGCCATGTTCATGCATGAAGGCTAGTAGTAGCTTCAGGTGGCATAGGGACCATCTCACGGACCTGTCTTTTACATCTGATTTTAGAAGTCAGGATGCCCCTTAGATGACAGTAAAGGGGCTGGAATAATGGGATAGTCTTTCCGAACATGGTCACATTCTCCCTTCCACCAAGGTTGGAGTGACCGCGCCTGCTTGCTGTTGGCACTTCATAGAATGTGGTGCTCACTCTGTAGACAAGAACACTGGATGATGATGATGATGATGATGATGATATGAATGTAGATAGACGTGGAAACACGTTCACAATGTCTTCATTTGAGCTGTGTCCTTTCACTGCCCCTTCCCCCTCCTCAAGGGGATGCTGGCCGAAGGGGTGAACACATTTCCTTGTAAACTGTGTGCGGCTTCTTGTTTAAGGATGGGCCCCTTTAGGCTCATTGAGAACTGTTTACTTTCCATGTGGTGTATTTGTACAAAACCCAGTTCCAGGAGCTGTATGGTGACCTCACCACACCTCAGTGTTAGCTCCTCCATTTAGTGGCACGTCCTGATTCCTCAGGGCAGGCCCAGGCCCTCTTGGGAATACCTGGCATTGGAAGGACACAGGTCATCTCAAATGAGGCCCCCAGGTCCCATTCCACACTCACTCAGAGCTTTCCCCTCCGTCCCCTAGAGGTCCTGCTGTCCTGCATCTGCCCGGTGGCTTGGCCTCAGGGTGAAACATCTCTTCCTACTGGTTGAGAAGGTCAAAGTGCTCCAGGCCAGTGGCATGCTCTCCAGGAGTCCGAACCAGGATCTCCCCAACAGGTAAAGTCCTTAAAACCAAGACATTTTCCTGCCTGACTTTGGGGTCCAAATGCCTAAGAGGGAGAAGGAAGTGGTCTAACCCACACTGAATACATCATACCAGAAACTTGGAAAAATCATTGATCATATACAAAATCCTGTAGAGTGTTAGAGATTTAATAACCTAATGGCTTACTATTTTGCCACCTTAGAAATGCAGAAATAATAGAAACAATCTGTGAATTTTCCTTATATAGCTGGTGAGGACTTCAGTTTCAGTTGATCATATGACAATTTTGCCTGTTGACAGTGGGCTTTTTTTTAATATGACAGGATTTTGAGCAATGTAGACATACTGACCTGAATTCAGTAAATTTGCTTTTAGTGTCATTTGCAGATTATTTCTGTTGAAACTGCAAGCCTACATTACTGAAATTTTAAAACATACAGGGACTTTATGGCTCTCTCACATACCCAAACCTGCCCACATGTGCACATACACATTTCATACTAGAAAACATTTAAAATGACGTGAAAGGGACCTGCATAAATTACAAGTTCGGCTTCTTTGTGCCTGCAAAGAAGGGTCTGGTGGAGCCAGGAGATTTACTTTTCCCCTCACTTGGGGCTTTCTCAATGCCTTAGTCTCTTCCCCACATGCACATGTGTGCGCGTGCAGACACACCCCTACCCAAAGACGGCGCTGGCACTCTCACCCATGTCCTTGCTGGTGCTGAGTGCCATGGAATTTGTTCTGGTCTCTAGGATGTATCCAAGAGGATTCCAAGCCATGTGAAAATTGCCCTGCTTCTAGAGGGAGGAATGTGGCCCGGCAATTTCAGAAGCACAATCATTTATTAATAATAAAAATCCTATCTTATTCACCTTAGAGAAATTAACATGTTCTAGGAATGAAGAATTCCTCTTTATAACCTGAAGCATGTTCAATTTTTGGAAACTATTTTGGGGGTTTCCTCCGTACCTTCCCTGTGTAGGGCTTCTCCCCCCAAAATTTTCGAGTCCTTTTCTGTGAAGAGAGGTGGACATACTCTGGGAGCTGTTTCCTGTCCCTCTGTATTGTCTCATCAGGAAACGCCTGCAGGTCCTGTGTGTGTCTGTATGGTGTCCTCAGTTTCCCTGACATACAGGTGGGTCCCAGGGCAGTTTTTTACATGAAGCAATAGAAGTACAAAATAACCCTTTTCCCGCCAAATTTAATGTTTTCTATAAAGTCTGGGCAAACCCCTTCTCCCTCCCCATCTAAAGTTTTTGGTTTTCACTTGTTTGGTTTTTGGATCCCCCCCGCCCCCGCCTTTCTATCTGGAGGACTAAAGATTTAGGACACATTCTGATGTTAAGTAAAATAGCAAGTCACAATAGGTGGTAGTGTCCCTCGTTTTCTGTTAGTAAGTTTTCAAAGAATGTATGAAGATAGTCATGAATGTACTGAGTTCTCACCCTTCTTCGGTTCACTTTGGCTGTGTCTACACGACGGCAAACATTTGACAGGGAACACACCTGTGTCTCCCGTCACGGGCTGTGTGCCCCTCCCCTTTTGATCCCAACCTGCCTTTTTTGTGTAAGTTTCAGGGGAGGGGGCCCAGATCCGCAGCAGCCGCCGTCAGCGAACCGGTGGGGCCTACCTGGCAGGGAATGGGTAGCTGTCTGGAAGAGTCGCTGGCCTAACCACATCACAGCTTGGCCATTTGGGCTGCTGTGGAGATGGCTTCAGTTTCCACCTTCCCCACCAAATGTTTGCTTCTTGCCTGATTGAGAGGGGGTCTCGGGACCCCTGATTGGAGGTCACTGAGCTCTCGCCCTGCCTGACTGTGTAGCTAGACAGTATGAAGTGGGGGGTGAGAGCCAAGGACTCTTACGCCATTTGGAAATACTCGCCTCTCGTAGATCCAGCCTTAATGTTTTTCTGACATCCTAGTGATAGCAGACCCTGCACAAAGTGGATATCAGAGTTAATACTGTGAGGAGACAAAATAATGAGAATAGTTTTACCAAAGATAATGAAAATATCGCATAATGTCTGTTTTACCATTGGTTTGAGTGCATCCTTAGAAAACTGAATGTAACAAAAACCCAGGACATTTTTGGAAATTGTATGCTCTCTAGCAACTTTGTGTGAATTTTTATACAAGCACTGTTTTATGAGTTATATAAAATGTTATAAAAATAGAAAATATGGTCTCGTAACATCTTCATTTCTTAGGGCACAGAATGACTTCTGTTCACCTTCCCCTGCAGCCTCCTCACCTCCCAGAGGAGGACATGAACTTAGAGGAGGGATCTTAGCCTCTCGGGCTTCCACGTCCTGGGTGTCCGGGTACAGCTCACAGGATTTCAGTTTGTTCACAGCTGGGTGTCTGAGAAGTCACCAGACACATCCTAGCCTGCTGCTCACACAAACCGCTTCCTGACCAGGTCATGAGGAACACATTTGACCTTTCTGACCTTCCTGGTCAGGTACCAGACTGGCCCATCAGAACTTCATTTCCCTCCTTTTTTTTCACTTGGGAACAAATAGGATTTAGTTCTCAAAGCTAACATTTTATTAACTGATAACAGAAGGATATATATTTATACATGTTTTGTTCTCACTCTTCATTGGCCAATTACAAATCATTAATTTAAAATAATATTTCATAATAAAACTGGCTCAAGCTGTCAAGAAACATCCTTTTTTGGCCCAAGAGCCCCAAGAGAGCAAGTCAGTTGCGGTTTGTGAGTGAGCACTTTGCCTGCAGTGAGAGCTTCGTCGTAAGTACTGACTCTTCCCGTGCTGAAGCCGGGCAGAGACTGGGACCCCAACCACTAAATCCATGAGTGCGTTTAAGCAAGACTTGAAGGGAGGCTAAATTCTTTAAGCCTCTTCTGGCTGTAGGTATCTTTGTTTTCCATGAAAATAAAAATTCAGAGAATTTTAATATATGTGAGCTTACTTGTAAAATCTAGTTCTTGCAGATAAGAATTTGACAGCAAATAAATTATCGTCATTGGAATGGTGAGAGGCAGTGAACTCTTTAAGGGAGTTTCCAAATGAATCAAAATCCCCTGGCGAGTGGCAAGGAAAGGACTGAGCAGTCATGCCTGTCCCCTGGGGTGGCACTTCACATTCACTGAGTGCGCTGTGCCCCGTGCTACAGATGGTACCTGGATGATCTTGCAGTCCTCTCAGAAGTCCTGTGAGGTTAAGATCCAGAATTTGCCTGTTAGCACAAAAACCTTAGGCCCTGCATGATGTACATACTGTCTCATTTTTCAGTCTGTCACCTCTGTTTTGTGGTAAGAAAGCATAAGGCTTCTTGCCCAAATTCACACAACTAGCAAATGACGGTGCCAGGATTTGAACTCGTTTGTCTCTTTCCACTACAGCATCTCAGAAGTGAAGCCACAGCACCCAGATGCAGTGGTGTCCTATATCACCCACATCCTCTGAGCCCTGTTTTGTCAGATCTTAGCTATGAGTGTGCTGGTTTTCGAATTGCCCTGGGTGAGATCTTTGTCGCCACGGATGACAGACATGTTCTGGTAATAGTACATTTTTGGATTGTGAAAGTAACTGTTGTGACTTGGATTCCCAAGGAGCAGATTCTTGTGCAATTGACTGAGGGTGTGCTCCCCAGAGAAGGGCAAGAGAGAAGTAGATGGGGTCAGGGAAGGCCATAGGGCAAGAACGTGGTGTCTCCTACAATCCAGCTGCATTCCTGAGAGGCCCTGGAACTGTTTGGCAGAATTAGGCAAGTTGGTCACAGTCTGACATCTTCTAGGGGGGAAGAATGTAACTCCCCTGGCAGAGCAGATCCCTTTGCTGGAAGGCAGTGCTCCTGGCCCCCAGCAGCAAGGGGATGGATATGCTGCTGAGGAGTCTGGGGCAGACTCCATCAGCATCCACTAGGAGCAGAAGCCCCAGAGGGCATGTTAGAGCCATCTGCAGGACCCCCAGCCCCCAGAGATTTCTGTGCAGTAGGTTTGGGTGGGGCCTGTTATACTTTGCATATCTAACAGGTTCCCAGGGGATGTTCTTGTGGCTTGTCTGGGGCCATACTCAGAACCACTGCACTACAGAAACTTTGTAAAACATGCTGTGTGTATCACAGAAACAAGAGAGTTAACACATCTGATTATTAGAAATAGATCTTATCTGAAATAGGGGTTCCTGTTGTGTTCAAATAAAACTGCTTCTTAACTAGTAGTGGTAGATGAAGCAGGAAGAGGCAGGTTCACAAATGCTTCAGTCAGGGTTTGTGGGCACTGGTCAAATGGCATGGCCTTTGCCAGAGCATATCTGCAGGGGGGAACCTCTTGGGTTTATTTTAAGGAGAATTCATTTCTTCTAGAGTTTGTATTCCAGATATGAGCTGTGTCCGTGACAGATGATGAGCATCTAGTCCCACAGTCCCTCCTTCCAGAAGCTCCTGCAGTGTGTCAGCTTTGTATTTGGAAGTCACCTTGGGTCCCTAAATTACAAGGAGTTCTGTTTTCTGTTTTCTCCCCATAGTGCTAAGAGATCATGAAACTACTGCCTAGCCATTTATTGTGACATGCAGTGTCCAAGATAGTAAATGCTAGTTGGCAGTTAGCATCGTTTCCTGGAGAAGAGCTATGTATTTCTTTGAAAGGACTGACCATTGATGGACCATTGATGGTAACAGTTCTAATTTTAAATTGCTCATCTTTTAAAAACTGCAAACAGACTGGAAATATTTTCACACTCTCCTGGACAAGCAAGAACTCGTTTTTTAAAGTACTTTCTCATTTAACTAAACGGGCTTTCTCAACCTTGTCACTGTTGACATTTTGGGGGTAACCTGTACACTGTAAGTCTTGAGCATCACCACTGCTTTCTATTTTTTCTATTCTTTGGTAGGGACCTCTCAGTTGTGACAACCAAAAATAAGGCATTGCCAAAAGGTGGAGGTAAAGGTAGCAAAATCAGTCCTGATTGAGAACCACTGAGAGAAACATCCAAACCTTTTCTTAAATCTTTTGTCGTATTGTTCATATTTTCACTGAGACCTTGTCAGGACATAAAGCAGCTATCATTTGGGTCGAGTAATGAGTGAGTTGGAAAATTTCCATAAATCTTTATGAATTGCTTTTGTTTCTGTTACTGTTTCATGAGTATGTTCTAAGTGCCCTGCACTACAGACAACTGTGAGAGTGAGAGATGAGCTTCTGCCACAGGCTGTGACATTCTCACCAAATGTCTTTTTCTTGCTTTGACTTTTAAAAAGATCAGTCTGGAATGGGTGAAACCCTGAAGAGCAGCTAAGCTGAGGTACTTACTACCATTCTTTCAAATGGTCCTTCCTGCTTCCTAGCTACCATCCACCTTATCTGACCTCGTATACCTGTTAGATTTCTTCTCCTTCAAGACTTGAGAAGGTAAAGCACTTAGTAACATGATTTCCACTTGACCAGTGAAGAGACCAAAGTCCACAGAGGCTAAGGTAAAGCTAAGACCAGGTGATGAGACTGAGTCTAAAACCCAGAATCCCTGACATGTCACTAGATCATGCTGCCCCTCACCATCCAAGAGTTCTCAGGCTTTCTATTACTTTCCAAATAGAAGTAGAGAAAAGAGGAAGAAGGGATAGAGACAGAGAAAGAAATGAGAAAAAGTATGGGCAATATAACTCCTAAATTATAATTCATAACTGACTTGTGTTGAAATTAAGCATATTATTTTAACTGATGACTCAGTAAAGCCCAATAAACAAGTGGTAAAAACAGAAACTTTGGTGCTCTTCAGAGTTTAAACGTTCAGCTAAAAATCAATTTTCCTGAATCTTCTGAAATCTGAGCTGGTAAGGCTTCCAGAATCTTGGGCCTAAACATCCTTGCCTTGGGTTAGACAGTTATTTCCCTCTGCTGACAGTTACCCTGAACTCCTGGAGAGCAAATAAAGGATCTGCTTATAGCCAGTCTTTCTGACAGGACACAATATAGTAAGTTTCCTATGAGTTAACCCTTGCAGTGCTAAAGATTCTTGGGAATCTGGGCCTCCCCGGTGGCGCAGCGGTTGAGCGCTGGGTTGCGAAGCTGCGCGCGGCCTCTGCGGCGCCGGTTCGATCCCCGGCTGCTCCCCGGCCACCGGAGGAGGGTCCCACATGGCGCGCAGACCTCTCCTGCCGCCCGCTGCTCCCCTCAGCAGTGTACTTCGGTCCTTCTGCCTGCTCTGCTCCCCGCTCTGGCTCTGGTGAATTCTCTCGCCCTCCCGCGCTTCTGACTGTACCCAGTGCATGTATAAACAAAACAAACAAAGAAACCAGCAAACAAATAAATAAAGCACGCCTCTATAAAAAAAAAAAAAAAAAAAAAAAAGATTCTTGGGAATCTACACACCAATTTACACATATGCCCCTTTCCTAGATGATGTATGTACTGCTACTCTATTTTCTTTATAACACTTTCATGAGAATTAGAATAATTATATGGCTGAGTCCCATCCCCTTGATTGATAAAACTTGTGTATTTTCTACTTTCACCTGAGTATTAAACCGTCAGTGTATCACCCTAAACCCAGAAGGTCCTCAAATTTTTTTCTGTGAGGATCAGATAGTAAAAAGCTTAGGCTTAGTGGGAAACAAAGTTTGTCATGTATTTTTTCTTAAACTACCCTTTTGAAAGGCAAAAACCATTCTTAAGTGCCATACAAAGAGCCTGAATGCCTTAGTTTATCCCCCCTGCTCTTTAATAAGGTCCTGACTGGTCCATATGGAATTAGTGACGGGAACTAAGGACAACAATAACTCAGGAGGGCAGGTGGCGAGAGGGCTCACCAGATGCCTTTCCCCGAGGGATAGAGGGGGTGACCTTGACTGCCTGTTGTGCTTTAAGCCTGAACAGAAAGCAGTTGGCCAACAGGGATAAAATTGGAATAAAGCTAAGAAACAACAGGCCAGTTTATTTCACAGACTCACCGGGTAGTTAATGTGGGAAACAGCAGACTAGTCATTAAAACCCTCTCTCGGCTTAGTTCATCCAGAACACATTTCACTCACTGGATGTGTTCATCCAGAACACATCTCACTAGTTCATCCAGAACACATCTTACAAGCATAAGTCAGGTCTGGAAGGAAAATCCAGACCATAGGAAGTGTCTCCAATAGATAGATCCCAATTTTCACAAAACAGCTCTGTAGATTCCATAAGTGGTAAGAGAAATTTATTTTAATAAAAATGTCTGTCCTCTTTCTAGCTGGCTTCTTCCCTTACAAGACCAGAACGCAGCTTTATCTCTAGAAAGCAATCCACTCATTTAGACATATTCTTCTTAGGCAACTTTAAGTTTTTCCACCGTCGCAACACCACTCTGTATTTTTCACTTTCAGTCTTCTCTTCAAATACTTTTTTCAAGAGAATTCGCATCACTGTCTCTGTTTGAGCTTCTTTATCCTCTCCAATAAGAAGATCCAATGCATCTCCCACTTTCACCTGAAAATTGAAACTGAGCTCTTATGTTTTGGAAATGCAGGTCAACACAAACAGCCCTGCGTTAAGTTTTCACCCAAGGGGCCAGTGAGGAACCATGCTGACTCCTTTAGCAGACACTTAGTGCCTGGGATGAAGGGGCCTCACGCAGTGGGGGCTTCAAGTACATGTTGCTCAATATTCAGTCCACAAATTGGGGTACACACCTGCTGGCCATGACCACACAGGTCAATCCCCGCAGCCCAGGGGAGCCAGATGTAAAACTCATAAAGGGACCAGTTTTAAACCATTAACTTTCTCCCCTCTGGCTGAGCAGAAAGGCACACACCACAATTAGGCAGGAAGACTGCGTCTCCCTCTGTCTGAAGGATGGGATGACCCAAGCATCATCTCGGGGAGGGAGAAGGTCTTTCCTATAGTTCTAATAGATTAAAAAAAAAAAAAAGACACCCCATTCCAACTGAGTGGATATTTAAAACCAATGTCCAGAAACACAAGGCGTAGGAACTTTGCTTTAAATTTTTTGGCTAACTACATTTCATTCAAATTAATTTTTTAGTAAATAATACAGGTAGATGATACCAAAGTTAAAGTTACACCAAGGATACATAAGAACAAGGCAAGTCTCTCTGCATCTTTTCCTAGATGCACTGTGCTGGCTAGTGTGCTGCTCAAGAGTGGCACACTTGGGGGAATATTTTTAGGGCAGGATAAGGAAAGAGTGTTTCTCCTTTACCCAGTCGATTCAGGGAGAGATGACTTTTGGAAGGTTTCAATTCCTGTACCTGGTCACCAGAGACCTGCTTAAATCAAGTTGCCCAGCACCTCCAGCACTCAGTTCCTGGTTCGTAGCTCAAAGAAAAGCTATGCTCCCTCTGCTGCAGGCAGCAGGGCTAAGGCTGCAGCATCAGACTGCCTCACCCTCCAGAGCCCACAGAGCAGGCCACGGAAGGCCAAGTGTTCTTTATCCTCCTGCAAAGCCCTGTCCTTTCTAATGTGAGATAGCGCAGCAGACACAAAGCAAAATTGGCTGGGACTAGGGGCTCTTCCAAATATCTACATTTCAAATCTCCCCTTAGCTGCAGTTACTATGGCTACCAGGCCTTCTAGTAACAGGCAGAGTGTTAATACAGGCACCTTCCTTTGCTGACCCTCAGGAGAAATCTGGAAGGCAGCCGAGACAACAGAACACCCAAGGCAGAGTGAAGCAACAGCAATTAGGCTGTAATTAACAATATCTCAAAGCAGGGGGAGGGGAGAAATAAGCTGTGGTGTTTGTAATGAGGCGCTGGCAAGGAGGCATCTGCTCCAGGAACTGGTCTTGTTTGTGGAACACTGTGGCTGAGGAGAAGGGGGCTGAGTTACAACCAGGAAAGGCAATTAATGGAGAAGGCCTTGATCTCCTGGCGCAGCAGGACTAAAGCGCCGATCCGCAGATCACTGGAGCAATGACTGACACCTCAAGTCTGAACCTGCTTCTCAGGTACCATCAGAGAGATGGCGGGCCTTGTGCCTTGGCAGCAGAGACAAGTACTGTGAGTTCATGCTCTTTCTGCTTCTCAACTGTGAGAGCCAGACTATCCCCAGGAGGGGGACTCTAAAGCCTCTGCTCACCCAGGTCCATGGCCATGGCCTGCACCCTCACATGTCCCAGGGCAACAGGGAGTAGCTCAGGACCTCCAACATTGGGGTATATTGAAATATGAAAGAAGTTTAAATAAAAACAACCTCCAACAGTATATCTGACTTCCCTGCAATATTGGTTCCCTAGACACTAAGAGTTAGGCTACATCTGCAGAGCCTCCTATGTCTGTGTTCTCCAAACCTTTTAAGGATTTCTGTCATACACTTATTTGTGTGTGTATTTTTACCATCATAATTGTTTTATCCAATTATAAAAGTGATACACATTCATAGAAAGCATAGAGACAATATAACCAGTAATACCCCAAAAGAGAAATACTAGTAATATTAATATTTAAATTCTATTACTTTTATAAAAACATTTTTAACAGAATGTACATATAGTTTACTGCAGCCAACACTGGATGCAGACAGTTATCCAGTGTTTAACATCAGCATTAACATAAAGTTAGAAAACACAGAACCATTTTGATAGCGGCTCTGCACACAGAGCAGGGCGTGGGGCAGGTGCTCGGGAGGGGGTACTGCTGAGCTTGGCAGAATTACATTTGCTTAAATAACAGCAGGCTGGAGAAACCCACTACATGGCTCAAATGTCTCTTTTGAGTATACTTATTATGATATGATGGGCGCTAACATCAACGAGTTGCAAGTTTAATTAAGGGAATTCTGCCAGTTCTTTGTCTTCAAATTTTAAAGAAAAGGGGTAAATTTCACTAAGGCTGCAAAAGCTAAAGTGGTTTGTGTGATTGATGGCAACTGGTGATGGACCAGGCCTGAGCAGGACCTCAGGGAAGTTCAGACAGGAACACAAGTAGCTGCTGCCACCCAAAGCAAGGAGCCCAAGGGGGCGGCATTAACTGAGTACTGGTAAAGTAACAGACACTATCTGGGTGTCATTATAGGCTTAATATCTCACCGTTCTGCTTTTCTTCCATAATTTTTCTCCATTCAGCCTGAGTTCACCTTTGTAGAACGCATCTTCGACTTTGCTTTAAAAGGAAAAAAGTGCTTTAAATATAAACATATTCAATTATACAATTTTGAGAAAAATGCCTGCCACTAACATCTCTCTGACAATGAGCAACCTCTCCACAAAGTCTCCATTCAGAAAGTGAAAGTTAACTGTTCCCATATGTATCTAAAATAGGGACACACAAGGACCTTTCTGAATAGATGCTGAGTTACTCCAAAGATGTGCCAGGCAGTACGGCAGGTCATCAGCACTCTAAGGGGCTTTCAAGAAGTTGTGGCACTCCGCAGTAAGGCCCAGGGCAGGACACAGCCCAGGATGCTCCACCCTCACTCCCCATGCAACAAACATCTGTGAGGCAGTAGCTGCCATGACTCATGACAGCCAAAGTCATGGGCACTCCCTTCCCCTCACATACCTGCTCTACGCTCTCAGAGAAAAACCAGGCACCATAAGTAGGGTGAGGCCCTCAAGAAACCCTCTGCTAGTCTACACTGAGACAGGGGGAATTCCAGTCCAGCAGTTGCTGCTCTCCAAATTTTAATCACTGAGGCAAAGAGACCATGGAAGACTACAAACAAAAATCTGTGCCCTTCCCTCCTCAGGATCTGACTCCAGGTGATTGACATCTGGGCTTCTCCTTAATAATAACAGTTGCCCCAACTACTGTGGGAACAAGAAGCTCCCAATGAGTTCTCAGATTTTAGAGAATATTCAACAAATCCCAGTCAGGCTGTTTATGAGTTTACAAGCTATGTGGCTTAAAAAATTAAAACTATGAGGCCTCTCTGGTGGCGCAGGGGTTAAAGTCTAGTGCTATCAAGATATTGCCAGCCACTGCAGTGATCCCCTGCCAGGGAGCTACCCACAGGGTGCAGCAGAACTCTCCTGTCCTGCCCACCACTCCTTTCAGCAGTGTACTTCCATAGATTCGCCTGTGCTGTTCCCCACTCTGTCTCTGGTGAATCCTCTCACCCTCTGCACTTCTGGCCTACACCCCAGTTCTTGTATGTATAAATAAAAATAAAATCTTAAGAAAAAATTAAAACACACCACTAAATTAGGTCATAAAGGTACACATTACACAGGACATCGTCCTGAATTTAGTAGTGATTCTTCAGTTCTTACCTTGCATGTAGTATGCATACACAATGATCACTAAAGGAATAAATAATGAGGGTCACTATTCTTATATAACTAGATCAGGAGAGAGAGAATGAGAATATTAAAGAAATCCTGAACAATTATACCTAATATCTTTATGTACTACATATGAGCACACGTACTGTTTTCTCCATAGTAGCTAACAAATACTGAGTACATACAATGTGCCATAGGACCAGATGAATCCCTAGCTTGCTTTTAGTTTTAACTCTTGCTTTTTTAAGTGCAATCAACCACGAGGCAAGAATGTAGTGGAATAATTTTCCAACCCTTGTAAACTCAAATTATAGATTTTTCTTTGAAGCAAAACAGCCTCTTCACTGTTTTCAATGTTAATTTCTGAGTTGCAGAAACTCCTTGTTTTCCTCCTGTATTTCTCTATTCAATCCTGGCGGTCACAATGAGACAGACAGCACAAGGACACTTTTTTCTCATCTCCTATCTGTAGGTGTGGTCCCCTCATCAGGTATGGGCCAAACGATTGGCAATGCGGCTTATAATACCAACATATGGGTTTGTAATAAAACACATATCAGACTTACTTTCTCCCAACATCTAAGCCTGTCTTCAGGATCACATCATACCGAAAAGACTGCACCACCTTTTCTAGGTCTTTATAGTCCTTGGCCACGCCGGGGTCATCCTCAAGTTCCTCTCTCTGCTCACTCATCTCACGATCACTCTCTTCATCAGAGTCCTCTTCCTCTTCTACTTTTTGTACAATCTTCTTGGTAGATTTTTTAGAACTTACATTACTTTTGAGTCTTATGGAAAATGGAAAAATATATTCTGGGGATGTTAAAAGGCCCGGGAGTCTTAGTGAGAAAATATTATGGAAAATTGTTTTATACTTCCATGCATTCAACTTAGTACTGGAAAAATATAAGTATCGATTCCAGGAAGCATAGAATTTGTGTGAAGAAGGTGTCCCCCGCAGTGCTCCCCAGAGTCCAATCCAGGCTTCTGGTTTTCTTAAAACACTGGTGGGCAATCTGACACTGGGCATAGCCATGGCGCATAGAACCTAAAACAGACAATAATTCAGGTTTATTTTACAAATGAACACACCAAGAACACTTTATATCTCGTACAGTTAAGTCCTCAATGTTGTCCATAGGTTCTTAGAAACAGCAACTTCAAGTGAAATGATATACACAAATCAGATCTTGAATGAGGTCAGTTTTGTTCATTATTGGCCAGAGTTGTTTCTTTCTCATCAACGTTATAATGAAATGACACTAAACAAAACAACATTATTCAAGTCCCACTTATGTTTCCCTACAAAGGCCACCTACATCTGCATGCACCACGCAAGGAACACAAGCTGCCTCTTGGCGCGTCTTCTTGCTGTAATTAATGTGCTTACAGACAGGGAGGGCATGAGGGCCCAACTACATACTAATAGAAGCAAAAGTGCTGTTTTAACTCTTCTCGCAAATTAGCCTGAGTACTGAGGAAACTTGTTTCACAATCACACACATGTGATAACACCTATCACAAATGTATACATAATACAATCACACACATAAATACATATCACACATGGGCACTCATACAGATTTTGTCATCAGGCAAAATATACAATGTATTTACTGTAGTTAATTAAAAAAATAGTCTAAAAACATGAATCTACAGGGCATCAGCAAATTCTTCTTTGCTATCAAATACACCACCACAGCCATATGTGTACCCTGGAGCTCAGGACCTGGCTGCATGTTCCAACTCAATTAACAACAACACTTCCAGAACCCCAAGTGTCTGCAAAGATGAAAAGCACAACCTCTCAGGCACAAATCTGCAGGTTACTCATTTTACAGATGCACACAAATGAGACCTGGAACAATTCAACAGTCTGCTAAGTGATACAGCCAGTAAATGATACCCCAGATTCCAAGACCAAGTCTTCTTAACACTGATTATTCATAGCCTGAGTGGGTCAGGCACTGCTCAACCTATCATCTCACTTATTCCCACCAACAAGCTGACAAGTTACACTGATAGGAAAAGTAGATTCAACCCCCAACACCTTGGCTCTGAGGTCTAAAGTCTTTATCACTCTGCTGAACTGCCCATCACACTTCTGACTTCAAGCCCACTCCTCTTTCTGCCTTGCATCGCAAATAGATGTATTTACTTACACTAGGAGACTTGCCAGCACAAAATAACTATTTAAGAGCACATGCTACATGTAAATCAAATAACTATAACCAAGAGGTTTAGCCAAGCATTGCCTCTGTGTGACCATCTGACTGAGAGCCCTGAGGTGGGGGGAGGCTGCCAGAGGAGAGTGTGAATCAGGCCTCCAGCCCTTCTTCAACCAGAGCAGCAATGAATATCGGAGTTCCTTATATTTCACTTGAAAACAGGATTCTACTACTAAAAAAAGTTTCTATCCTTTTAGCATGCCCCCCCCCCTTCCAAGCGCCACGTAAGATCTACTCTCCCCTCCATCCTCCTCTATCCCATGCCTTTTTCCAAACTCATGTTGCACCCATGCTGTCTTTTGTACTATTCTTACCTTCCTAACTCTAAGGGTCGTCACAGGACACCAATCAGCCCAGCACACACAAAAGCCAGTGAAAACTTGCAGATTCATTTTCTAGAAATGAGCATCCTACCCATTACTCCATCCATCCCTATATTCACTCACTTGTCCACACATGCCAAATGACCAGGTGAGCCTAGGATCAAGGGCTGAGAGGGGGCAGGACTCTGCACAGGCTGGAACCCAGAGCAGAGACTTGAGTAGATTTCTGATAGCAAAGCTGAGCTTTGGAGAAAGAGGAAGTTACAAAAGCAATTTTCACTCTCTAATGGACTATTCTCATCAGCAGGCTGTTAGTTCTCTCATTTAAAAACCAACAAACCCAGCACCCCCTGGTGACTACCTCTTTTCTTGCTCCTCTTTCAACAAAACTTGCCACAAGTGTTGTCTGTACTCTCAGTGCCCCTCACTTTCCGAATGCAGAGGTCATCTGTTTAGAACCCCTATTCCTTGACTCTAAGCAGAATTTGAAACAACTGATTGCCTCCCTCTTCACTTGGCTCCCGTAACACCTACCTCACTCTTGGTTTTCCCCCTACCTCACCTAGTGCTTTTCAGGACACTTCTACTGCTTCCTTCTCTTCTCCTGACATCTTAATATTGGGGGGCACCTCAAATTAAATTGGTCCCAAACCAAACTTCTGTTATGTCCCAACCACAGATCTGTTCTACCTGCACCTTTGTCCCCATCTCAGTTAATGGGAACTCCACCTCTAGTTGCTAAGACAAAAAACAAAGTTTCTAGTCAACCTTGACTCTGCTCCTCCCCTCATATCTATTATGCCAGAAAATCATGTTAGCTGTATCTTCAAAACATGTCCAGTATCCCACCACTTCCACACATTCAGGCAACTGTTATCTATCTCCAGGGTTATTACAAAGACTCCTTTAGGGTCTGTTCTCCTTAGAGCTGAGTGTTTCTTTCAAAAAGTAATTTATGCCACACTGTGGTTTTCCTCATACAAAAGCATGGAGAAAGCAAAATCCCTACTATGGCCTACAGTTCTGCGATCTGGCCCTATCACCTCTCTCCTAGCATCCTCCACCCCCCTCCCCCCACACACACTTCTGCCACTCTCACCCGCCATCATTCAGCTCCAGCCACAATGGTCTTCCTGATGTTCCTCATGCATAACAGGCACATTTCTGGGTAGGGTCCTTTGCTCCAGCTGCTCCTAGAACACTCTTACCCAGTTATCTGCATGGAGTACTCACCTTCAGCTCATATCTCAAATGTCAACTCAAGGAGATACACCATTCCAACTCTATTTCGGAGCCTTGTCCTCTCCTTAACTTGCACTACTTTTCCCCACATAGTACTTATCGCTTGTTATATTATTTCAACTACTGGGTTTTGGTTTTGTTTCCCCTTTCAAAATACAAATACCACAGGAATCTTTATCTGTATTTTTTTTTCCTCTGATGAATATCCCAAGGGCCCTGAATAGTGCTTAGCACATGACAAATGCTCAGTTAAATACTGTGGCATGAAAGTAAATTAGACCTGCTGCATTACAATGAACCTGGAAAAGAACACACAGAGATGGGGCTGGATTGATGGGTAAGAGGGTACAGATCTCCCAAGAGCCTTGCATGTCAAAGTTTGGCTTTGACCCAGAGAGCATGAGAGTCATAGAAAGATCTTAATTAGGAATGTGACCGAGAGGAGTGTATTTGAAAAGATTTCTTTAGCGACGGTATGGATTTGAGTAGGGGATGATCACAGTCGGAAGACCGTAGGAGGTTTCGATTGAGACTTTCAGAACAGACAGAAAATCTACGAACTAACCTAAGGCTGTAAAAAAAGCAAAGTCTAAGATCCAGAGGCCAAGCTGTCCTTGACCTGCGGGACTCTGGGATCATTCCATGTTACTGAGTTCACTGATCAGTAAGGAAAACCCGATCTAATTGCTTTAAGGTGCATTACAAAAACAAAACAAACAAACAAACAAACAAAACACCCTCCCCTCTCCTGGAGACCCGAGGCAAGACTATTCAGCTGGGGTGGGGTTCCCGTGCCCCCTCCCTGCCCCAGCAGACTGCGCACCTTTCAGGGTCCTCAAGGTCAGGGGAAACTGGACACCTGCGTTCTCGAGTTCCCGCTCTCCGCTCGCAAAGAGCAGTAGCTGCCGGGTCCGGGGGCGGACAGCCTGGGCACGCCGGGCTCCCACGGCCCCTGCAGCTGCCAGGCCCACGGAGCGTCCCGCGGCTCTTCTGACCCGGGCAGGACGCGGGGGACTCACGTGGAGACCTGGCAGGAGCGCCGACCAGGTAGAGAGACTCGCCGCGCTCCTATTGCGCAAGTGCGCGCTGTGAAGCAACAGAGGGCCGCGCGGGTCAGGGGCGCCGCGCGCCAGCAGAGGCGCAATTACCTGCGCGCCAGGCTCGCTCCTCCCACCGCCCCCCCCCCGCGGCGCGCCGAGCTCCCGCCTCCAGGCCCCGCCCTACTGGCTGCGCCCCTTCCGTCCGCGCCCACGTAGCGAGAGCGGCTCGTGCGGGGCGCACGGGTGTGGCCGCGCTGGCGCAGCGACCCCTGCTGGAGGCCGCCCTGTGGAGGACTGCGCTGGGCGCGGGGCCAGCAGCGCGGCCCCGGGCTCGCAGCCTAGGCCGGAAGCCAGCGCGGCGCGGTTCCGCGTGGCCAGGGGAGTTTGTCCTAATGCAGCGAACCTTGGCTACTCTGAGGTCGTCAGCCCTTTGGAACGTCTTTAAGAGTCATAAGCGTCTCCAGAAAAATGTATGTACCCGCCAGAATTTACTGACAATGTCAAGGAAGTTCCTGTTTTCAAAAAGAAAGCCAGTAACAGAGCAAATGAGGCACACCTGCCCAGCCTACCTGTTAGGCAGTCGGTTTTCGGATGGCAGATACCAACCAACAACAGAAAACCCAACTCTGAAAATAGTGCTTCGTAGTGGACTTTGTGGAAACAGCCCTTTTGTAATGTAGAAAGATGAACCCGAAACTAAAGGAAGAACTTCAAAGAGACAAGCTGTTTCGTGAAGTTTTATAATTGGTCACACTAAGGTGCATGGGTGTGCATGCTCTGTTAAGTATTTTCTTGTTTGCAGAGCGTTCTTCTTTCCTTTTCCCATTGGACGCACCATCTGCACTTGGCATACACTTTGATTTCCACGGTGTCCTCACTGCTGCACAGAGGCTTCGCGGTTGCATTTGTGCAATAAGAAAAGCAGTTACCATTTGTCTCAAGTGCTGAAATGATACGATTTTATATATTTTGTCAATTCAGTTTACACTGTTGACAGTTTATACAGGGTATACACAGTTGCATTTACTAGTTTAAGGTATTTGTTAAAATTATAGATATATTATCAAATCTGCCAGTATAGGCGTTAGTAAGTATTATAAAGTGACAAAACTGTTGTATGATTATGTGTGATTGTGGTTGGAGATGAAATAATAACAGTGATCTGGATTACATAGAATCAGCTTGGTCATTTTAAAAAATAAACACTCATTAGATAAGTTAATTTTTAACTTAAAATGCTAATTAATATAAAAACTCTGAAATTAACAAGTAGTGTATATATATTTGACTTTTTTTTTCACAGACATCTCCCACCCCCAATTTCCTAACAGGATTACACTAGTTCAGATAACAAGACACCACTGAGCTTTGAGTTACCCCCTACAAATCTGGGCTCCAGCTTTTAGTTTAGCTCAAATAATCTTAAGTAAAATGATGGGTAAGTCAAACGACACTTCTGTGTCACTACAGGTTGGGATCTGTAGATGAGTTTAAAGTTATTTTTTTATGCAGGAGCAACAGTTTCACTTTCTATATTCTGAATGTTGTTTGTTATAGGTTAGATTTTGTTTTCTTATATTTTATCTTACAACTTATTTACTACTGCGAAAATTCATAGACAGATATCCCATCTAAATAAGGTCAGGAGGCTAAAACAGCGCTTAGGCATCCCAACCTGAAAACGACGGGACCCAAAATGCCCTGCAACTCTGACAGGAAGTGATGTTGCTTCCCCACATCAGGGCAAGGAAGAAAGAGGTCCTTTCAAAATAGCATCACCAGGTCCAAAGGTGATTAAAGTAGGTATTGGATTTAGTTCAGGAAGCACAAGTGTATCTTGCCATGAGATAGTGCTTTCCAAATTGCCATTTTGTTATTTGCAAATAAACTGATTTTGGTGGTTGAATAACTGATTGCCTTTGTTGAGGTCAACTATTTACTTGCCTGTTCACTTCTTAACAGAGAACAGAGAAGAAAGTTCTGTTCCACTGCCTCATCGTATTTGTCCCAAATCTCGAGGTAAGCTAATCACCGAATATATTTTAGAGCATTCCATTACACAGTCCACTCCTCCACACTAAACTCCAACCTTCTCACGTTGCCAAGGAACTTACTCTTTATAGGCAACCTCTTTTCTGAATCTTCACCACTTCCAGATCATTCTTGCCAGCAAACATTCAAGTAACAAATTCTAGCTATTTTATTTATTTTTTAAAAGATTTATTTATTTATTTATACAAGAACCGGAGTACAGGCCAGACGCACGGGAGGGTGAGAGGATTCACCAGAGACAGAGCGGGGAACAGAACAGGCAGACTGATGAAATACACTGCAGAGGGGGGCAGCGGGCGAGATAGGAGAGGTCTGCCGCACCATGTGGGATTCTTGCCGGCCTGCTGGGATCGAACCCGCACTGCAGAGGCTGCGGACAGCTTCACAGTGCAGCGCTCAACCGCTGGCGCCACCAGGGGAGGCCCTCTAGATGTTTTATATATATGAGATTTTTTAAAAATATTTAATTTAGTAGAAATGTGATAATATTTTTGTCATTCCACTTTATTAGATTCATTCCATGTTTAGATATGCTTTAACTCCTTTATACAATTCATATATAAATTATCCCCCATTTATTTGGTTCCTTCCTAAAAAACAATTAGGTTCTTACAAATATTGCAGCAGTAGACATCTGTAGAGGTATCACCCTGTGGCAATTTTTCTAGGGTGTTTACTTAGAATAAGAATCTCTAGGTTCTAGAATATGTTGTTCTTCAATCTTACTAACAAATACCTAGTTATACTAGTTTACTGTTGCACAAACTCATGAAAGTCATGTTTCTTCCCATTCTCCTTAGCAGTATATGTCTTCAGATTTTTGGGTTTTTTTTAAAAAAATTTTATTTATTTATTTATGCATACAAGAACTGGGGTGTAGGCCAGAGATGTCGGGGGAGGAAGAGTGCAAGAATTCACCAGAGACAGAATGGGGAGCAGAACAGGCAGATCTACTGAAAAACACTGCTGAGGGGAGCTGTGGGCAAGACGAGAGGTCTGCTTTCCCATGTGGGTCAGCTCCCTGGCGGGGAATCAAACTCATGCATCAGTGGCTGGCAATAGCTTGATAGTGCTGAGACTTTAACCCCTGCGCCTCCAGGGAGGCTTGTCTTCAGATTTTTAAACCTTGTCAGTCTCACGAATAGAAACTATTACCTTGTTTTCATTTGTAAATTTCCCCTGATTGATAGTGAGATTGAGAATCTTTTCATATTTTCATTAGCTATTGAGATTTTCTGTTTGATTTGCCAGTTTATATCCTTTGCTCATGTTTTCCATTCATCTGCCCTTCCCCTGAAGTTACACACCAGTCCCACCATGTATGGGCATGCATACCTGTAGGAACCTTACTGCACGCTCAGCTGCAGCATCATATACGTTGACTGCAATGGAAATGACACCAAGGGAGTTGTGCTGTAGTGGCCCTGGCAACCTTGATCCTGAGTTGAGTTTAAGATGCCCTTGAGTTCTTAAAAGATAGGTAAAAAAAAAAACAACAATAAAACACTCACATATATGCGCGTCCCTAAATAGTATCTTGAGGGCCACCCTGGTGGTGTAAGGGGTTAAGCACCGCACTATGAAGCAATCCGCAGCCTCTACAGCAGGAGTTCTATCCCCACCTGCCAGGGAGAAACCCACATGGCACAGCAGACCTCTCTTGCCTCACCCGCTGCTCCCCTCAGCAGTGTATTTCAGTCAGTCTGCCTGTTCTGTTCCCCACTCTGTCTCTGGTGGATCCCCTTACCAGCCCCCCATACCTCTTTTCCTATACCCCAGTTCTTGGATGCATAAATAAATCTTTAAAAATTTTTTATATAAATAATAGCATACTGTGTATCGTATAAGATGAATATGTGAGCTTTCACTTGGCATTAGGTTTCTAAGACTCACCTACTTGTTGCCAGCAGCTATAGTTCTCCTATTTCTTTTTACAATTGATAATAATCCATAGTATGAATATGCCATACTTTATTTTTTCATTCTTCTCTGATGCACTCTGGTTTCTTTCTAGTGGTTTTTTGTTTGTTTGTTTGTTTGGTTGGTTGGTTGGTTTGGTTTTTACTGTAGTGGGAATTGTAGCCATGAATAGTCTTTTAACTATATCTTCGTGTACATGTGCCAGAATTTCTCAGTGGGTATCAATGCTGGAGAGCAATTACTAGAATTTTGAGAGTGCATATGTTCAATTTTATAAGATAAACTAAATTGTGTTTATGCCAATTGTTACCTGACTAAGAATGAGTGAAGCTCATATCCTTGCTAGTTATGCAATTTACATGGTCACACTTCTTAATTTTTACCAATCATTGGTGTGGAACAGTATATTTGATTTACACAATCTAGTAGGTGTGATGTGTGTGACCACCATCACCCCTGCCTCCTGGGGGCTTTTGGTGCTTGCTGTTGGGGCCCATATAAGCAGCTGAGAAATAAAAATGTTAACTTGTATTTCTCTGTTGACTCCTAAGGTTGAGTATCTTTTCATTTTCTTTTTTAAAGATTTTGTTTATTTATTTATTTATGCATACAAGAGCTGAGGTGCAGGCCAGAGGTGTAGGCCAGAAATCAATCATGGGAAATCCTCTGTGTGAGAGACAGAGTGGGGAGCAGAACAGATGGATCTACTGAAATACACTGCTGAGGGGAGCAGTGGGTGAGACAGGAGAGGTCTGTTGTGCCATGTGGGTTAGCTCCCTGGCTGGAGGTGAACTTATAAAGCAGTGGCTGGAAATAGCCTGATAGTACTGAGACTTTAACCCCTGTGCCACCAGGAGGTCCCTAGAACTTTAATTTTGAATATAAAGGGCTTGTACAGCCTTTGTTGGATTTTTTCCTAGGCAACATATATTTTATTGTCATGGCAAATTGTTTATTTTAGTTATATTTTGAAAACTTTTTTTTGCTGGGGGGGGAGGGTTTTTTGTTTGTTTGTTTGTTTGTTTTTTGTGGGACCCTCACCGGTGGCCGGGGACGAACCAGGCTATAGAGGCTGCGGGTAGCCTCGAAGCTCAGTGCTCAACCGCTGGGCCACCAGGGGAGGCCCAGGGCAGGGGGGTGGGGGGAGGTTTTGTAGCAGTTAATGAACCTTTTTTTTTTTTAAAAAAAGATTTATTTATTTATACAAGCACTGGGTACAGTCAGAGGCATGGGAGGGTGAGAGAATTCACCAGAGCCAGAGCGGGGAGCAGAACAGGCAGAGTGACGAAGTACACTGCTGAGGGGAGCAGCGGGCGGCAGGAGAGGTCTGTCACGTCATGTGGGACCCTCACCCGGCAGGCAGCAGGGGATCGAACCGGTGCTGCAGAGGCTGCAGGCAGCTTAGCAACCCAGCGCTCAACCACTGTGCCATTGGGGAGGCCCTAATGAACCTTCTTTAGCCTGGCTTCAGGTTACCAGTACACAGGACTCCCCACACCCTTAGTTTTCTCATCAGGTCTTCTGCTGAATAATTTGGCCTTCATGATGACAGGCTGCTTGGGGAGTTTGTCCTTTCCCAAACTTTCCAGTACCCTGACATCAACGACAGCAAAAGGGAGAGTCTTGTTTTTGGCAGCATTTACGCTGTCCGCTCACTGAGCAAGGTCCACAGCTTATCAAGGTTGACAGTGGGGCAGAAACTCTGATTCCCCTTTATGTGGTGATATCTCTTACCCAATTACCCAAAGTAACCCTGTGGTGATGCTTGTGACCAAAATCACCCCTGCCTGCTAGGACCTCTTTTTTTTTTTCCCAAGATTTATTTATGCATACAAGAATTGGGGTGTAGGCCAGAAGTGTGGGAGGTAAGAAGATTCACCAGAGACAGAATGGGGACCAGAACAGGCGGTTCTACTGAAATACACTGCTCAGGGGAGCAGCAGAGGAGACAGGAAAATTCTGCTGCACCATGTGGGTCAGCTTCTCATGCCCTTATGCCTCAGTGGCTGGCAATAGCTGGATAGTGCTGAGAATTTAACCCCTGTGCCACCAGGGAGGCCCTGCTGGGGCTTCTGATGCTTGTTGATGGGGCCATAGCCGTGGCTCTCATGGCCTTGACATGTCTGGGTCTTCCACAATCTGATGCCATGTCAGTAATGGGAACAAAAAAAGGGAAAGCTTTGTTATAAATGTGTAACTTACAGAGCAGAGTGCAAAATCTTAAGTGTAAACTCAGTGACTTTGTACAAATGTATTATACCTGACATCTACCTACCTAGATAGTAGATGATATAGAACATTTTTAATATCAAGATGGTCTATCATATTCCTTCCTGGTGAACAACCCCCCAGAGATAACCACAAGTCTGATCCCCAGTATTACATTAGCTTTCTCTGTCTTTGCACAGTTATGCTTTCTAACTGCTTCTTGTTGGTGTGTGTCAATGCAATTGAGTTTGGTGTACTGAGTTCTTATTCAGTCACCTTGCTATGCTTTCCCTCGTTGTATGTTGATGGTTTTTGTTTTTCTTTAGAGCAAGGTTGGGACTTTCTATGTGGACAGTCTTTTTATTTGTGTATGATTACAGGCTTGTTTCTACTTTTGTTATCTTTGTACTTTTAAAATCTTTTTCTTGCCTCATTCTTTTGGTTAGGGGATCTGGTAGAATGTTGGAAAAAAAGTACTGGTAGTATTTTTCCTGATTTGAAAAGAAATACTTCTAATTTATTAAAAGTGAAATATGCTAAAGGGTTTTGGCATATAATTTTTTTTAGGTTAAGAAGCACCCTTTGAGATCTATTCTGTTATAGAATTATTTATATATTTTAACAATAAATGGAATTTGAATTTTATCAACTATCTTTTCTGTATGTATTGAGATTATATATTTTTTCTCTTTTATTATGTTAGTCATAAATGAGTATATAGATTTTCTAATGTTAAGCCATCCTGTATAAGTCCACTTTGACATTTATTTTATTCCCATAGGAAACTTATATCTAAAGTGAATTTCTTGTAGACAAAAAAGTTGGCCATGTTTTTTGAT